GAATAGCCCTCCGTTTCAGGCTGGAAAAACTCTGGGTTTGAAAGACCCAGAAATAGGCTGAAACGGAGTAGGGCCTGCAGGCCCTCGTTTTTCAGTTTTCAGGCTGAAACGACCGGGGCCTGTAGCTCCTAAGTTTTAGGCTTTAAGGCTGAATGTCCGGGACGGGTCCTACAGGGCCCGTGTGGCTACGCAGTCTGCCACAGTCCCTGACTTCCGGAGACTATCGCCTGTGTTGATGGTGTCAGTTGTGCAAGCTAGTGAGATTTGATGTGAACTTGGCTGAAGGTGAAGACCCCCATATGTTGCAAACTCAGCAGACTCTGCACATAACAGCCGAACATTTTGCAAGCCCCTGAGGTCGTGGTTTTTCGTGGTTCATATTACTTTAGTGCCCAGTTTCTTGTGGGGAGAAGGGAAGAGCTGCCATCCAGTTCGCCATCGGTTCTTTGATGAGCCATATACCTTAATGTAGTGGAATCTGACCCTAGAACCATGACAGATCCACGCTCGGGGTATTTCCTGTAGCAGGAAAAATTGCTCTCATGTCGCACGAAGTCTTCTCGAAGTGTCTCGCCACTCCAATCTTACTCTCACACAACCCAGTTAGGTCAAGTGTCGACCCAACACGACCTAACCAGGTGGGGGCAGCTTCCCTTAACCCTGCTGCCCCACTTCCCTGAACTTCCTGCCCTAACCCAATGTGGTAGCCCTGCACTTAGGTTAGGGTTGGAGCGGGAAATTCAACTCTCACCAGCAAGTAAAATCCGCTCTGATACCGATTTTATGATCCTGGCCAATTTCGAACTACACATTCATTAGAAAGTACAATGCGGTCCAATTGCAAAAAGAAATGAATGAACTTGAGAGGAGGGAGAGGGAAAGAAGAAGAAGAAGATGCAAGAAAGAAGATGAAGAAGATGAAAGAAAGAAGAAGAAGATGAAAGAAAGAAGAAGAAGAAGATGCACACCAGCAAAGACCAATGAGAATTCCTCTCTCCTCCTCCTTATCTCCTCCCCTCTTATTCAAACAAGAAATAATAACAATAATGTTGAATGGCTGAACCAGAATCAATGTCCGAATCCCTCTTCTACTGCAGGCATCACATGAGGTCCACCATAGCCATAGCCACTCTTATTCCTCCTTCCACGGCCGAGGCTATGGAGGACTACCAGGGCACTGCCCTGCTGTGCAAAGGACAACACAAAGCAGCTATGGCTGCTCTAGCTCAGGCCGCCATGCCTGACTCTGCCTCAAAGCTTCTTGGTGTAGCTCTACCCCAATGGGGGCCTTCCGGATGCAGCGCCCACCAAGGTGATGGAGATGGCACCCACCATAGCCAGGTAAGTATCTCTGGCACTCCTCCCTCCTAGTCCTGGTCTTCTTCCTCCTCCTGTCCTTGCTCCTCCCCAGCAGCGCTGCTCTGATGCTATGCTCCAGCCAGCGCTCCAACCAGTACGCCAAACTTGCACACCGACAATGAGGAGGAGGAGTACCTTGCTCCTCCTGGAGATATAGCGGCCTGCTTGCCTCTTGGCGAGTGACTTCCTAGGCCGCACGACCTCCAAGCAACCGGTACCTCCTCCCCTTTCGGAGGGAAACGTCATTGCAGACTCTGATATTGCCCTTACAGGCCCTAGACTCAGACTGGTTGGACTGGTACCGGCCTAGACCTAGCCTACAACTACTGGGCCTCTAAAAATGCCAACTTTTGTCTTCTTCTGCTCGGTCTCGAGTACCCTGCACATCTACCTCTACTTGGTGTGGTACTGGCCTACCTGCTTCTTGAGTGTTTTCCCCTGCCGTGGGCCTCTTTCCCCGCCGCTTGAGTGTTTTCCCCGCTGGAACCCTCAATGTCACGGCCACAGGTAAGTACTGGCCCTTCGGGCCTTGCGAACAAACAAGTGCCCTTGCGGGTCACACACACACTCAAGCCGACAGGCACTCAGACGGCATGCAGACCAGCAAGCACGCACCCACACAGACTTAGAAAACTCAGCAACAAGCGGGAAACTCAGTAAGGCATACATCCCATAAGCAAAACTCAGAAATCAGCTGTGTGTCTCCGTCCGTGTTTGGCAGGTCATTACACACACATGAAACTGTGGAATTGCAGACGTGAGTTCGAATCCAGTGGTGACCACAATAAAATAGTTCTGATTTACAAAGGATCCGACGGCGTGCTGATGCCTTGCCCGATGCCCCGCAAATGCCGTGCGTCCCTCATAATCTAATACAAACACCCTCAATCTTGCCCGGGCCAGATAGTGGCCGTGCCTGCGGTGAGCAAGGGTGCGGATCGACGTGGACAGCTGAGCGGGGAGCAGCACCCAAGCTCCTAACACCTGGCACGGGCTGGAAAGTCAGATGTAACTTGCACAACCACCCAGGAGGGACAAGCGGACTTTCTCAGCCGGTGAACCCAAAGCATGCCACAGGGAGTCGTGGGAACCAAATGGATGACGTGGGGAGCATTCCTCAATTTGTATGCCATCCTTGCGCATGGGCCATGCTAATCTTCTCTGAATCATTCCAAGTTTAACGGACGTGACACATTTCCATTGCCTTCTTCATCATGGCCATGCTAATCTTCTCTGAATCGTTCCAATTTTAACGGATGCGACACATTTCCTTTGCCTTCTTCATATTGCCTCCCAGCTCTTCTAGTCTTATCTGCATGCAGGATTTCCCTGTGGTTCACTGCAAGAGAAGTGTGAAGACATGCAGACACGACTGGGCTTAAGTGATGCTGAGAGACTTAGAGCACAAGCACTTGATTCAAGCCGTGAAATGTAGACAGGCACAGGCACATTAGTCTGGCGCATATTATTATCTAGAGAATAGAACTGTACGTAGGTGGTAGGTTTTGTCTTAGGCTGTGGAATAATCTGCATCACTGCATGAAGGTCCTACAAGGAAAATAGGGTGATGGGGAGGTCAACCCCCCTAACATTTTGACATATTATTGTGAAAGCGCACTCCAATAGATGCTCCGACGGGTAGGAACGGGGACCTTTCCCAGAAAGTTACGGAAGCTTTCAGGAAGGGCTTAGATGTTGCTACAGGTCTGCATTCCTACAAAACAAGAAGCAGCTGCGGTCTCTCATATCATTCTGGTTATGCAGGGAGAGTTGGCATTGCCTGCGCGTGTGTGAGAGAGAGACTAGGAGGCGTAGGGTGTTGTCCCTTTGGTATGAAACACTCTGGAGGCCGTTATGGGATGGAGTGGATGAATGCTACTTGAGAAAGGTTTTGTGGGGGCAAAGTCGGGGAGTCTGGCTAAGGTAGTTCACTGCAGGAGGACATCCTGAGCTCTGGGGAAGTTATTACTGCCATCTGGTAGGTGGTTGCTGGCTGTGGTCCTTGGGAGAATACCTCCAGAGCACTTTTGGCGATTGGGAAGAAAAGGCGGTGAAGTATGGTGGCAAACTGAGGGTTTGAGCTTTTGTTCTTTGCTGCTTGCACGTATAATTTGTTGTAGTACTCATTCCACTTTGTAGGACTGCTTGCACGGTTTGTGTCTTTTCTTGTTGACCTTATGGACATGAGTGATGCTCACTGTTTGTAATAACCGGTGGTTCATTGCAAATTCTCTGTTCGTGGCTTGCTGTTGTGCAGTGTGCTCAATCTGGGATTCCATGGCTACGAGGACGACAATGGAGTGAGGCCAGTCGCAAAACAGGTATGGATTGTAGGAGTTTAGAGGGCAGAATTTGAAAGCAACAAGTGACTGTAATTGAAACATGCCAGCCACCAACAGAATGGATAAGCAAACTGAAATGCTGGTCAAGAGTACACCAGACATCAAGAACAGGCGAGGGAAAAATGTAAAGAAGCTTTCGGCCCTGGACTGCCTGCAGGTTTGAATGACCGGCAAGTTTGGCGGCAGCTGAAAAAGCAAGTTTGGCTTTCTCAGTGTAGGTTTGTACAGGCCTGAGAGCTCACTGACGTCTTCACCCGAATAGAACACCCGGTCATTATAGCTGTAATTGGTAGAACTTTCAGTCTAGATGCAGCGATAATGATCGGCGTTCAATTCGGGTGAAGACGGTAGGCGGAAGAGTTCTCCATTCACCATGGCATATCTGTACCGGGTCCAAAGCACTGTACCATACCGGTCCAGTCAGCCTGGTCCACTGCAGCCCCTCAACCAGTACGACCTACTAGATCTCCTTGCCCATCACCTATCTTCATTTCTATCCCACTTCAGATACGCCCTCCTCCCTGACCTAAATCGCCCACTCTCCTCCACTGGCTGGGAATGTCTTGGGGGTTGGAGAGGGTGCAGCAGGGGAAGAGCGGGAGGGAGAAACAGATGCAACAGTGCACATGAGAGAGAGAGAGAGAGAGAGAGAGAGAGAGAGAGAGAGAGAGAGAGAGAGAGAGAGAGAGAGAGCAAAGCGCCCTTTCACATTTTTAAGAAAACCCCTGCCCGTACTTCAAAAGGGCCCTGCCAAAAGTTAGCAAGGACCTCGTCAGCAGGAGAAGAATAGTTGCTGGGCTTGTAGTATGGAGGGAGGAGGCCAGGTATATATGGTGTAGCTTCAAATTCAGGTCCGTGTTTCAGCAGTTATGGGTTACTGACTTACTAACTCGGCATGTGATTTTCAGGGCGTCACCCCACTACTCTCCAAATGTGCAAAACTAGAATGAATCTTCTCCCAGAAACTGGAACCATACAAGCCGTATGTTTTTCTTTTGTGCAAGTGCTGATGAGTGAGGAATGGTTAGGGAGCAAGGTACATAGAGACAGTAAATGACATGGGGGCTAGGTAAGAGGAAGGTACAGTGAGGAATGGCAAGGTAACCTAAACAGGGTTAAGACCGATAACATGATAGCTGGACAAAGGTAGATTAAGTAGGAAGTGATGATACAACAGTCTGTGGAGTTTGATAGGCGGCCTGAGGAACTGCAGGGGAGGCCCCTCCGTGCGCCCCGTCTCTCTGAGGGTCCCGAACTGCAGGGGAGGCCCCTCCGCACGCCCTGTCTCTCTGAGAGACCCCTGCTGCGTGTTTGGGTGCTGCTAGGAAGCCTCCCGGCCAGCAAGGTGCCCCCAGAGAAAGACCATGATTTGGGGGGGTGGGCCTCCTCTAGCAGGTCCCCCCTTGGTAGACGACCAATGCCACAAGGGTTGGGCTGTTCCCCTTTTCTGATCTGATCTCCCCCTTTTCTTTGGATGTACAAACATGCTTGCCTGTGATAAGTAGCTGGACTGCTTCCCCCAGAATAGAAGGGGCTTTGTGTCTGGGAACTTTGGGAAGGAAAAAAAAAAAAAAAAAAACAAAAAAAAGGAAGAGCCTTATCATGTGAATCTACGATATACTGACGGCATACATTTGTGCTGAACTGATCATGTTGCAGATCTTTTCTCACTCTCTTTTATACTTTTCATTTTGTGAATAGGCGCGTGCAGCTGCTGCTTTGAAGGAGGTGGAGTTCGGACTAGCAACACTGGCGGCAAGGTTGATGCTCGGAAAGGACCACTTGAGGCAAAACAAAGGGAGAGTGAAGCGGCACTATAGTCAGAATGGAATGGCAAATCAAACCCTGAAGGAATACTTCAATGCACAAGTTTCACATGACAATGATGTTGCAGACATGATCAGCTGGGTGAGTGAACATCGTAGATCGATCCCGTAGTCACTGGTCATTCTTTTTGTCTGTGTTGTAGTTGGAACTTGAGAATCGATTGCAAAGAACAAATCAATGGGAACTCAAAATTTCCGAGCTGCAAAAGGACTCAAAGCAGGACAAGCATATATGAGCAAAGTCAAAAGCAGAATCAGGAAGTCTACTATGATGTGACTTGCTAGTGCACTCTCCTACTCTCTCTCTCTCTGTGCACCCTCTCCTTCTTTCTCTCTCTCTCTCACACACACGCACACACGCACACACACACACACACAGACAGACACACAGACACACACAGACACACACACACACACACACACACACACACACACACACACACACTGTGTGTGTGTCCACTATCTTCTCGCTCAGCCATGCTGCAGAGTCTGACCATTACGAGTGTGCTCATTGGTCATCACAAGGTAAGTACCGCCTGTTGCCACCACTTTTTCTCCCTGGTCAGTCCAGGTGCAGCGCCAACTCACTTCCATTTCCAGCGCAACTATGGCTGCCTCTGGGCGAAGCAGCTTGGTGTGGCTTCTCCTTGCAACCTCCTCCTTCCTAGCACTGGACTGGTCTGCTGTGTGCTGTGTCACAGCTAGCGCTGGCAGCCAGTGCCTCCAAATGTGCCAAATGCCACGACATCCTTCCTTTGTACCTTACTGCACAGTGCGTATAGTCTGAGATGGAACAAAAGAACACTCAGCATATTGTAAGCGAAGATAAAGCTCCACCATAGCCGAAGGCAAGTCCTCATGGATCCCTTCCTCCTCTCAGCCCCTACTCCCCTCCTAACTCCATAGCTCAGTATGGTCGCCTACTACTATTCTCTGCTACGCTGACTCAGCCTTGCTGTCTCCCTCATCTCCACCGTAGCCAAGGAGCTCTCTTCCATCGCCCTCAAGCTCCTCCCTCCTCCACCCATTCTCCACCAACCTCTTCCCCAGGTGGATTTGACACCTTCTCAAGTGTACGGATTGATATACTCGTGACTCTCCACCTCTAGAACCTCAACCTTGGGTAGTTCCTACCTCTACTGGTGGACTCTGCCTACGAGAAAGTTCCTGCCTTCTGGTGGTAACATCATTATAACCTGCAATCTACCCTCAGGGCCTGAATCTAACCTGATTTGTCTACATGCAGGGCTTGGACCATCATGACCTTTCTGAAGCTACAAGGCTCTCTTCTAGGCCTACCGGACCTACTTGGGCCTACCCAAGTTGCTGGCAAATGCCGACCAGGCACCTGCCAAATTCTATAACTATCCCTGGGCCTAGCCTTCTAGAACTCCTGGCAAGTCCCTGTCTCACCAAAATCTCAGGTCTGTCCCTGTGTTTGTAACTATCACTAGTCTACCCCTGCCTGACGCACAGAAACACAGCACGGAAAACAGGGTCAGCGTGGGGACACAGACTTAGGCACAGGTAAGCACACGGCACACATACATCATCAGCAGGTCACATACACACTCAGAAAACACAGCAAAGTAGACTCAGACCCGGAAATCCCAGGAATTGGATCGAAAACTGCAGCTTTTGTCACAAAATGCTGATTTCTCACTCTGAACCTGTGTGGGTCATTGCACTACGAAAAAGCCCGGGGTAATCACACACATGCCTCTACACCTTCGCTCGTTGACACAGATGCCTGTGCAACAGTCTACGTGGATATCAAGATAATTCTGGAGACTGATTTGTACCATGATCTGCAGATGTCCAGGTGCATGTATGTATATCCCTTCAGAAGTTCAGAGTGAGTGAGAGCTAAAAGGAGAGAAACTGTGATGGGCATGTGCGAGCCTTCGCTTCCAGGACCAGGAAAGCTTCATGTATCCTGACTACCGACTTTGAAGGCAAATTGATGATCATCAGTGCCCACTGGGAGGTCCTATCCCCCAAACATCCATGAGGGTATCTGGAAAGTGTTTGCTTGGCTATGTGAATGTGGCGCAATACTGTCGGCCCGATGATCGTTATGGCCCCTTATGAGTGGAATCTGTAATATGTGGATGTGTGTACTTACTATTACAGGTTGTTGTTGAACTAGAAAGAGTGATGGCCTCTGGTTTCCTTAAGCTTCCCTACCGCCCTGTGTTGTCCTTAGGGACATCTGTTAAAATAGGAGCAATACCAGCTGCCCTGTGTTGTCCTTAGGGACATCTGTTAAAACAGGAGCAATACCGAGAAGATTGCCATGTTGTCCGTTCACAAGGATGACACATACGAGCTGGGAAACGGGCCAAATTATGAAAGGTAAAGAAAAGAAAACCATGGTCAACGCAATTCAGACTGGTCTGGTGTATCTGCTTTGCTTGCCCAATCGCTGGTTTCACTGAAGCTGCGGTACGTGTTAATGATGTTGTGATGCAGCTTTACTCCATTTCGCACGGCGTGTCTTTCTCTGACTTGCAAGGCGAGGATAATGGATTCCGTAGTCAACCTAAGGTATGTTCCTGGTGACTGGCCTTGAATGTGACCAAATGATTCTTGGAGTGCTGAAGTTTTCTCTGGTTCCCAAGGCAGAGACGAGAGAACTGGTCTTGGGGTGCATGAAGGCTTTCGGGTTCGGAAATGTAAGGCGAAGGGTGGAGGGGAAATGTAGCTTGGGGGGCGCAGGAGGGGGTGAGGCAGGAGTTAAGGATCACGGGAATGAGGTGGGTGGTGGGTGATGTGTTGGGTAAGTGAAAACTGCTTTGACTTTCAGTTCTAAATAACGGTGTTGTGGGTGCAATGACTCGGACGGTGGATTTTGTGTCTTCAACTGTGTTATCCATGATAAGATAGCTGTCGAGTTAGTGTGAGTATGGTACTTAGCTTCCTCTATCTTTTTGTTCCAGACACAAACTCACACAAACTTGTAGTCCAGGAACTGAATATGCTAAGAGCAGGTAAGTATGGATTACATGGTTTATCGTGTGGTCACTTGGGGCGGGGGGGGTGGATTCCGGGGCTGTAGTGGATATATCCTGTGGGTATGATTTTGTGCTGTTAATTTGTGTTCTAGGACTGGAAGGAAACTGGTATCTTTTTCTTTTTCTAATTGAAAGAAAGAGAGTTGGTCACACATCACATGGTCACCAAGGGTAGTCGTGGGCTGTAGTGGACAACCTGGATGTGCTGAGGAGTTAACGATAATACAATCTTGTGCTTTATGAGCTTTGTGCTGAGATGGTTCTCTGGTTTCTGTTCCTTTGGTGATCTTTCACTCGACCGATGTACAAACAAGGCCTTCATTCTGAATTGTGAGTGAAGTTGATCTGCAGGAGGGATGCAGATGGGAGGGATGCAGATGGGTGAAGGTCAAGGAAAGGCGCGAGGAATATGGGCAAAAAAATGAACATGGACTCCCGCTCTTGGCTCGTGGAAAAAATGAACATGGACTCCCGCTCTTGGCTCTTGGAGGAACCTGTCGGTAATCTTATTTCTTTCACTTCACGGTGTAATGGATCAGACTCTGAGACAATGGAGAGAGATTTGGTTGGCTTCCACTGTGGCCACCAGGGACTGTCATGGACATTCTGATTGATGGTTTAAACAGAGACATCGGGACAAAGGTGAAGGGGGAAAGAGGGGGAAAAGAGAAACAGAGAGCACACGTGCACAAGAGAGAGAGAGAGAGAGAGAGAGAGAGAGAGAGAGAGAGAGAGAGAGAGAGAGAGAGAGAGAGAGAGAGAGAGAGAGAGAGAGAGANAGAGAGAGAGAGAGAGAGAGAGAGAGAGAGAGAGAGAGAGAGAGAGAGAGAGAGAGAGAGAGAGAGAGAGAGAGAGAGAGAGAGAGCTGTGATCATCCGCTAAGGACATTCTGATTGCTGCAAGGTTATCTCTGCATGTTTAAATTATATGGATGTAAATAGATCTCGTGGTCCACGTATCGTTGCTGGTTCATGAAAGTTGCTCTTGCTTTTCTTGCCGCTCTTGCTTCTTTGCTGCAACTAACCTCCCAAGTGACTGACCACTACCTGTCCCCCTTTCGTTTTCAAACTGCTTGTGTATAACCTGCTGTTGTCACAGAACTGGCAAGAACTGGTACAACTTGTTGTAAGAGCTGTTGTCGTTCCGGGGCTGATAGCTGTGCTAGATGAACAACCTCCTGTAGTGGAGATGCAGCCAGATTCAAGGACACAAGGAGAGAATGAAGGTTCTCCCAGCTTCGCAATCGCCATAGCATCTCCACTCACTGTAAGTTCCAGTGAATGAACCCAATGTGTCTATAGTTTGTAGAGTGATCGAGAATGCACTGTCTTCATTTTGGCAGCAGTATTGTTTTGCATGACATGAAATGGCAGCTTGCCCATGGTTCCCACCAGCCGGAAAAGAAGGAGATGATTGCAGATGACTCCCATCTTTTGGGGTGCACTTGCCGTAACAGAATGGCCAGTCTATGAGGGTGCATCACACTCCATCGTGCAGGATGACAGTGAGCGGAACCTATATTTGGGGTCATGTCTTATAGTACATAAGATGACTGGTCTAGGCCACTACATCTGAATGAGCCAAGCAAGGTCAGTAATGGGGTGCAGAAAGAGAGGCAGGGTCTGGAAAATGGCCAGCAATCCCATCTATGTAACCAAGGAGACCTCTTGGCCACAGTAGCTTCTTAGCCTCTTGTTGCTTGCTTTCCATCGTTGCCATGCATTTTTCACTCGTGTCGAGTCATGCGTCTTCTTCATATGTGTATAGTACTGTATACAGGACTCCCATAATTGCCCTCCCCTCCCATTCAGGAACTCTCCTTCAACAAATGCATGCTGCAGTACATAGTACATACATAATGGTGGTTTCTGGATCAAAGCATCTTCGTAGAATGCCCTGGTCATATTATGGCACTGACTTTACTAACAATCAGTGTGAAGGCTGGTACTGCAAAAGTATGGTCAATAGGGGCTTTTGCACTATGCCGGCAAGCCTATTCTACCTTCCAGGTCATTGAAGAGCAGTTTGTTCCAGTTCAAGTACACACTGAATGACCACTTCCAGCAGTATCTACTGAAGAGCAGAGTGCTCCGATGAGCCTGTACCACAGAGGCCCAATCACTTCCAGAGCAAGCACAACTATGCCACGAATCAACCCAATCATCAATGGAACCTGCAACTGAGAATGCACATGAGATCGAAGAGAATGAACTGAAACACAACTCTCAGTAATGTTCTCCGGCCCAACCTCTCGGCCCTGACTATGACAGACTCTTCTGTCCAACAAGGAATCTTCTCTCCAGCCTCTTGGGCCTAAGTCAGTCGAGCGTCTCTTCTCACCATCCCTCCCAGAGGTCCAGTGAAAACGAATGACGTTTTGCATGAAAAATCCATGTTCCTTGTAGCCGTGGAATCAGCTTCTTTGATGCAGCTGCCAGTTAGCAGGTAATCTTCCACCATCCTCAGGTCTCTTCTCTCTCTCAAGCCCCAGTTCTCTCAACTCCACCCCTGCCCTCCTACCTCTTGTAGGGATGTTTCTTGCCTCCTATCTCTAGCTATGGCTGCCTGCCCAAACACTCTCTTTCCTGGCTGGCGGCGTCAGGCCAGCACATGGTGAAGTACTCCAGTGTTGGGAAGAGCGCAAGGCAAGATGTGTTGCTACTGGGCTGGCAGTGGAGATATATTGCTTTGAGTGAGGCTCTGGCGCCCAGCGGCTGGCTGAGGCTGCTGCTACTGGGGTGGACTGCATGCTGACCAGCAGTCCCTGGATTCTGCAACGTCGGATGTGCATGCGATCTGTGGCCAAAATTGGCTTCTGGAGAAAGTTTGACTCTTGGTTTTACTGGGTCGGACGGGGTCTGGTTGTTGACTTTCTCAGGCCTGGGTCACTCGAATCCAGGCCTGTCTTGCCGAACAGTACATCTTCTCTGTTCCATTGAATGTAGAACATATCTCAGACCTACCTGTATGGAGTTTGGCCGCCCGTAGGACCTAGAGACTGACGCGGGTCCTGTCGGATGCTGTTTTCAAAGTTCTAACCCTGGTTCCTTGCACTGCACCTCTTTGGAAACAAAACGAGACTGACTATCTCCTGCAATGGTCAAATTGATCCTGAAGAAGCCTAATTTGCAGGGTTGACATGTGCACTACCCATGTGTGGCAGTATGGGAGACATTGTGTGACAGTAGGGGACACAATTGGCATGTGCATGGCATAACCCCTCTCAAGAAGGTTCTGATATTATCATTTTGCGAGCCGTTGTTTGGAGGGTCATTGTGATCCACGATTGTGTATGCGTTCTGTTCGTCCACTTATTGGCTTTACTAAGTCTACTCCTTTTTCTACGCTATATTCTTCTCTTGTTTTTTACATCACTCTAGCTACCGAACTAAAGACCGATATCCCAGGGCCTCTGTGTATCTTTAACACCAACCTCTGAACCTCCGCCCGTCCCTAAGCACCAAAGGAACATCTCACACCACCTGGGTTGGACCTAACCTCTGGCAACGGCTGGACGTGGGGAATCGAACCCATGACCTCCTGCTGCTTTCGTGCTCTACCAACTGGGCTATATTGTCACATATCGATATTAACTAAAAGACCACACTTTGTGGAACGAATGAAGAAAGAGCAGACGGCATGAGGCACACTGCAACTGTTCTTTTTTTGTCTTTTTTCTTTTTTTCAGATAATCAATCCAATAAGTCCATCAGTTCAAAGTCATTGAAGTACATGTTTCCTCATTACCACGTGTATGTCTCAAAGTCCACAGTATCCAGAAAAGGAGAGGAGGGGAGAATAGACAGCTGGAAGAAGGAAGTGTAATGTCCTCTTCTCCTTCGGGCTCCCCACCTCTGCAACGTCAGCAATCTGTACTCAGTGTGCCACGTCAGCAATATGCACTCAATGTGCCATGTTAGCACTCTGTACTCAATATGCCACGTCAGCGTCAGCGATCTGCGTAGAATGTGCCACGTCAGCAATATGCTCACAATGCGTCATGTCAGTACTCTGTGTAACACGTGGACGATGTGGAAGCAGCCCCACGCAGATAAACGATCCTCCAACAGCGAGCAGAACCGGCAGCAGCTTCACATCTTAAGAAACCAGGTACATACACACGACGAGTCACATCCCCCACACTCTCTCTCTCCCTCTCCTCATTCCCTCGCCGTCATCTACGGTCGCGGCCGTAGCCGACCTCTCCCTCCCTCTATACTATAGTGTCTGGCTGGTGCCCATCCAGCAGCCTGGGGCTAGCACCTCCTCTCAAGTGTCACGTGCAGTGTCGTAGCCGCAAGGAACTCGCAAGACTGAATGCCCCAGCACTGGCAAGGTCAACTTCATGTAGTGTTGACTCGCCTTTCCAAGGTCAGCGTTGGTCCAAGTGAGCGCCCGGATCATCCGATTTGTCCCAGTTTTGGTCTGGACGCCTTGAGGCCTGAATCTTCCGGAACCTGCAGACCACTGTTAGATCATTCCAGATCGACGGCCAGGAAATCTTTGTGTTGACTTTGACTTCTTGGATCTGGACCTGGGTCCATGAACTGACTGTTGACTTTTCGGTCAACTGTCGGCCTGGACCTTTTCAAAGGCCTGTTTGACCCCTCTTTTTCCAGATCTGCCTGTTCGTGCTTGTCTGTGGGCGCGACGAGAGCCCAGCGGCTCAATTTGGCACAGGAGTTACAGCACATTATTCAGGAAACCCCGGGCGGTACTCCGAAAGGCACCTGTCAAAAATTAGCAAGGGCGTCCTCGCCAAGGAAAGGGTAGTCGTTGGACTTAATAGTAGGGCAATAGCAGGCCAACCATATATGGTGTAGCTTTGAATTCAGGTCCGTGTTTCAGCAGTTATGGGTTACTAACTAACTCGGCATGTGATTTTCAGGGCTTTTTTTTCTTTTTTTCTTTTAACCCCCTCTAGTGGTAGTGGTGCTGGTAAGAGCAGACGCAGCGGGCTTCACTCCACTACTCACCAAATGCGCAAAACGAGAATGAATCTTCTGCTAGAAACTGGAACCATACGCCACCATATGTTTTGTCTTTTGTGCAAGTGGTGATTACTGGAGCGAGGCCCTTAGGGCCACTGCGTGTAAGAAAAGGAAAAACAAGAAAAAGAGAGAGCTACTGCAGTATTAGTAGTAAGTTAGTAACCCACAACTGCTGGAAGACAGGCCTGAATTCGGATTTTTTTTTTTAAAACAGAACCTCTTGGTTCTGGCCCCTGCCATTCTGGGGAGCAACAGTCCAGTTCCTCTTCCCCCGGCAAGTCAAATATAAATACAATGAAAACACGCTCCCCCCCATTCATTTGCAGACTTTTTGCCTTTTCTCAGTTTTTTGTGCATTTCTTTCTCTTGGGTCTATTTGAAACGGTTTTCACCTTTTAGCAGTAGCGGATGCAGTACCCAGGGTTCGATCCCTAGACCTCACCCTACCCATGTACAGTATCTGTGTAGACCCCGAGAATTGAACCTGTGACCTGTGTATTCGTAGGCAGTTGGTAGACCTGTCGTAGGTCCATAGACAGCAGGGGTTCGATCTGTAGGTCTATAGCGTAGGAGTCTTAGTGAGTTCTGGAAGCTTAGCTGTAGACCTTCTAGAAGGTAGGCAAGTGGGCAAGTGGTGAGGCAAGTGGTGGACTAAACCGCAG